GCGGTCCCGGCGGCTCCTGACCGTGTGTACATCGTACCGGTGAGGGGCACAGCGGCTGGCGGCGGCTTCTGCCCAAACCAGACACTTCTCTTCGCCGTGTGACTCCCTGCAGTTGGAGACAAACCCGGTACATCCCCCGGCCCCCCTGGAGCAGGGCAGATTTCCCGGAGCAGGGGAGGGGAGGAGGGAGGCAGTTTGCTTCTCCTGCACCTATTCCTCACTCCTGCTGTAACTCGATGAACTGTCTCCTCCCTCTCGGCCTGGGCTATTTCTTTCTGTTTTGGTTTGCTTCCCTTTGCATTTGCCACATCTTCGTGTCTGCAAGCCACACAAAGAGCTGCCCCCCATCCCCTGCCCTGAAACAACCGTCTGGACCCCCCCTGACCCAGAGCATCCCCCTCCTCATCCTCCTCCTGCCCCACAGCATTGCGGGCGGCGGGGACGGCACATCCCGTCTGTGTCTGCCATCACGGGGGCCACAAGCCCCATAACCAGCTGCCCAGTGGGCCAAATCCGGCACCAGCAGCAGGAGGTTACCCTTGAGCCCTGGGAGCCCGGGGCAGTGCGCTGCTGCGGCACCCCTGCAACCGCCGCCCTGCCCCAGCTCTGTCCCTGCGTGGGGAGCGAGCTGTGGGTGCTCCTGTGTTACCCCGGGAGCAGCTTGAGAGGATCGGGGACAGCTCAAACCTGCCCCTGGATGTGCGGATGTGCCCGGGAAAGAGAACGGCCGCATCCTGGCAGCTGTGCTTACCTAAGCAAGCAGGGATCCCCCGAGGAGCAGCTGCCCAAGCACCTTCCCACATCAATTTCCTGCAAAGATTTGCAAAACAAAGGCATGAAAATCCCCTGCAACACCTCGCTGGGGACTCCCCAGGGGACCCAGTCACTTCACCCTCCAGCCGCCCCCCATCCTCAGGCTGAACATCCACCCCTGAGAAACCACAGCAGAGAGACAAAGCTTGCAAGAAGTATTTTGGGGTCACACCAGTGTCTGTTGGTCCCTGTGCACAAAGGTATGTTGAAGTAGAGTCTCTGTTGAACTGAGCTCAAGACATACTTGATTAAATATTTTTTTAAAAATAAAGCTCTCGCCACTCTCTTAATTAATTTTTGAAGAAATCCTCACCCAAAGGCCATTTGTTACTCTATGGCGCTGATGTACACACAAATCAGCGGCAGTAAAATACATTTGATAGCGGAAGATAATATAAAAGTGAAATTTTAACCACTGTAGTCTGTTGCCAGGGTGTGCAGAGCTCCACCAGGGTGAAGCTGCCCATGTCAGAGCATCCGCCTGGCTGTTCAAACCCCACGTGTGGGCCCAGAAGCACAGCTGAGCCCACCAGAGAAGAGGCCAAGCTGTGGGGAACCAACCTTGAGCCGTTCCTCCCTGTGTCCTGCAGAGCTGAGCACAATTTCATAATAATATTCCACCTGGGAAACACGATAGCATTTTTCCTTCATTTCGCAGTTCTCCAGCGTCTGAACCACCTCCCCACCTTGTGGATTTTTGACTAGAGCAGTGCTGAACTTTGTGGGCATGCAGAAAAGTCCATCTGCAAGGAAAGACGAAGGAAATTTAATCTGGGGCTGCATCTGAGGCGACTCTGGCTGCAGCATCTCCGCCGGGGTTCTCCCGAGCTCCACAGATGCAGCGTCAGGCTCCGGTGTCCAGCGCCTGGCGTGGGAAGTGATGTTGTCTGTGTGAGGGTCCGCAGCCGAGAGTTTGGGGCTCAGTCCTTCACCAGCGCGGGGCCTCAGCAGCAGGTTTTGTTCCTCCATCAGACCACAGGGCAAAGAGGTTATTCTGGGTGCAAACTGTGAAAACCTGACCCTGTGAAAGCCGCATCTCATGGGAGACAGCCTGAGCTATTACACATTATCTTTGAGAAAAAGTGTCTTTGAACATAAAATATTCATAGCAATGCTTTTTCCAGACATGCTGTCACACCAGGGAGCTGGGGAACATTATCTACCCTTGACTCATTCACCAGTTCTCCCTGGATCTGCCGGGGGCTGTGCCAGTGGATGCTGGAGCCGGTGT